TGAACAGATAATGACTAAAATTTGTTTTATTCCATATATTTCAGAAGACATTTATCAAAACATTAAAAACCACACATAACACACAAAACAGAAAATAGATAAAAATTTTAATGTATTGTTACATTCATTTCCAGCGGCACTTGAACCGCTACCATTTTTTGGCTATTCCTTATACTTAATGTAGTTATTCACCTCTCAGAGGTTAGCAATTTAATAATAATTATTAAAACAATAATTTACTTACTGATTTTCCCTGAGTACAGGATTAAATATCAAAAGTAAATTTATAACTACATTTTGTTGATAACTTTGTATTTTACCTTGCTCTCCTATTATGGAAACCTGAAATTTTTTATGTAATCTTGGGATCTGTATGTATTAAAAGTACACTTGAAATAAAACTGAACCTTAATTCATTATACTTCATAATAATTAAGGCAAGTTATTTTCTAAGTATCAATGTAGTTCAGATTTTATTATGTATCTAAATGTCCTGTGTCTTAATTTTGTCTTAAGTCCTGCTATCAATAAGTCTTCATCAATTACTAAGAAAACCATTGTTTAATCAGTAAAATAAAGTTTTATCTAATAAAATTATTCAAGTTAATAAATTTTAGTATCTAAAATGTTAAACTAAATTTATTATCACCTATCATTTTGATTCATCCTGCAAATACTTTTAGTAATAGTTTCTACTTCCTATTAGAGCAGAATCCTGCACTAGATTACACAGTATAGACTGTTGTAATTAAGTTACTTAATTGTAATTACAATTAATTGTATTAAAGTTATTGAAATTCACCTTTAATGATTAAATTCACTTTTTAGGATTTCTTTTACCTTATCTATAAAAGAAGGGCAATGAACTATATATATTATCCTTAAACTCTCTTCCAGCGCTAACATACTATAGTATAGAACCAAATTACATAAATTTATATATTTAAGCTTTAGCTTTTAAGACAATTTCAAAACAGCCTTGTAAAATATAGTTCTATGTTGCAAAATTGTGAATTACTATAATTTATTTTTTTTAGAATCTTACTGATTCATTTCTAAGATATATTTATTTAACAAAGATTTCTTAGAATGTGATGATTTAAGGCCAAAATAAAAATGTTATATTTGCGTTTAATAAAATGAGTAATGGTTATACAATTTTTTTGTTAATGCAGATACAACCCATATCAGAAAATGCCATAAAGCCAGTGTTTTTAAAAAATATGTAAAGCTATCTGACCTATAAGGAACATTCCTTTCAAATATGTTTAATTTCAGTGAAAAAGCACAGAGTCCCAATCTGTCTTAAGACTTTGAGTAGAACACATTAATTGATAGGTTAATTTTAGGTTTAAGGAGGAGGTCCCAGATAAAATAGTATGCTCTCACTTATTCTGATCACTAGTAGAATTATCAAAATAGAAAATTCTTAACACTGATGAAATAGACTAGTAGCAGCACTGTAACTGTATCACTGCTAGAACAATGGAACCAGGAGAAAACAATTTATTACAGTGGGAAGATGAGAAAAAATCAGCTATTGATAACTGAAAGAAACTTTATGGTAATGGGAAGATTAAAAAAGCAAGCTCAAAACTCATTAAAATTATTTTGTCTAATTTCTCAAAGACACAAAGTCAGTTTTATTAAATAGTAGGGGCCTGGTGCATGAATTTGTGCACGTTGAAAGGAACTGTGGGCTGTGAGGCTGCGGTGGGCACAGGGGCGGGTCTTGGCCCGTCCTCCATGGCCCCACCCGGCACCTCCCACTGTGGCCTCTGGTCCCATCTGCCAGCAGCCCTGCTCCTGCCACTGCTGCTCCCATGCACTGAAGGTGCCGGTCCCGCTCGCACCCGCCGACGGCGGGGAGTGACTGGGGCCGGTGCCAGCAGTGGGTGCAAGCGGGTCTGGTGCCATCAGCGGGTGTGAGTGGCAGCTGCTGTCCTGATTACCCCTCAGGAGTAGGGGGAGGTGGAGAAGCCGTTAGGGGTGATCGGGGCCAGCAGCCGCCGCTCACACCCTTTGACAGTGCCGAGCGATTGGGACTGGTGCTGGGTGTCAGCATTGGGTGCAAGTGGCGGCTCTGGTGCTGGTAGTAGATGTGAGAGGCGGCTGCCGGCTCCGCTTGCCCCTCAGGAGCAGGGGGAGGTGGACATGCCCTGAAGGGTGATTGGAGCCGGCAGCTGCCACTTGTACCCGCTGATGGCACTGAGCGATCAGGGCAGTGTGTGGGAACAAGGAATTTTCAGTAACCACGAGAGGCTCGCCCCAATGACAGCAGCTGGCACCCCACCCTGGTCTGGCTCACCTGCTCCACCATCCCATCGTGGTCAACAACTGCCATGTTCTGCGCTCTGTCGCCTGCTGCCAATGCCCGCCATGTTCCACGCGCACCCCCTGGTGGTCAGCTCACTTCATAGTGACCGATTGTTTGGTTATTCCACCATTCGGTCTACTTGCATATTAGTGTTTTTTATATATATATATATAGATGTACATCTATTTGAGATTTAAATCTGCTTTTTGAGAATTCCTTTAGAATATGTTTAATTTCAGTGTTGGGTCTTTAATGTCTGGTCTAATGCTTATAAGAGTTTAGGTTACTTACATTTTTAGAACATAGTTCTTTACAACATGGTTTCTCTTATTAGAAATATGGTTTTGTGAGATAAAATTATGGAGCACAACCCAAAAAACCCCCAAAAAACTCTACAGAAGGATGATCCAGATTTAACAAAATCTGAGGCAATGTTATAATTTATAAAGTTAAGAATTCTGTGGTTACGATGAAAAGTACACTTTGAAAATATTTTAGACACCCAATATGATATTTTGTATTGTGACATTCTAAAGAGCAGTGAACATTTCTAATATCATATGACGAAATAAGTAGTATTAGAAATCAATTAGTACTCAAAGTCTAGTTATTGATTTAGAGATTGGGGTTCATTCCAATCCAGTGTTTGATTAACTGATGTGCAATCGCTCTGCTTGGTGGCACGAAGAATGCCTGCTGCTTCCCTTTGGTCAGAACATCCACAACCTAAAATATACATAATAAAATGTGTTAGAATTTCAACACTTTCATACTTAAATATTATTTCTATGTTTATACAATTCAACTTAAATGTGAGAACTTTTATAGTGAATAACAAAAGTAGAAAGTGATTAACATCCATATTCATCATGCAAAATTTAGTACAGCATCTTTAGTTGCTTCAATGAGTTTGTGATTCAATTTTTAAAATATTCAAGAAAATAAGGTCATGAAAAAGCTAAGTATATGCTCCACACTTATTTTCAAAGTAAAGTCAACTTTTGGAATAGGTTCCATTTTACAAAATTCTGAAAAAAAATTCTAATTTCTACTTTTGGAGGTTGAGCAAATTAATTTTATTTAGACATAGTCAGAAGGATTTCAGGTGTTCAATACTGAAGTATATCCATTTGTTTTCTATACAAATACTCTGGGTTATACAAAACACAGCCAAGTAATTTATCTCTCATTATAATACTTAATGGTGTTTCAGAAAGTTCTTGTGAGTTTTTTCTTTCTTATCCTTAAGTATATTTTAAACTGAACAAGAATTTTTCACAGATTTTAAGCTTTTTATACACTAGAGGCCTGATGCACAATATTCCTACGCTGGCAGAGGCCCCGCCCACCGCTGTGGCCAGGGGCCTCTGCCGTGTCTGCCTTGGCCCCCGCCCACTGCAGCTTTGTCAGGAAGGAAGCATGTCCAGTCTAATTAGCATATTATGCTTTTATTATTATAGATTATTATAGATTTTTTGAGAGAAAACTGTTTTAAAGCTATAAATTAAAATACAAAATGTCTAAAAACAATATTCCTGTTTTTCATGTCTGAAATAATGGTTACCTATTTTAAGTCCATTAAAAGGTATTAATCCAGAGGAATGGCATTTGATTAGAAAATGGCACAGAATCAGCATTACTAGAAGAATCTCAGAGAATGACTTACCATAGGACACATTGATTACACTGTAATCCATGCATGATGAGAGGCCATAGCCATTCATTCAACTTGCTGAAAACAAGTATCTTTGCTGCATGCTTAAACCGATACAGTCAGAGAACAATCAATAGAAGAAGGAAATTAAATTGAACTTTACCTGTTCTCTAGTGAACCAGCGGGCATCCTCTATTTCATTCTTGTCAACTTTAATTTCTGTAGACACTGCCACAGCTAAGCAACCAATCATTAAGGAAGAGGGCATTGGCCATGGTTGACAAGAGACATACTGAACATGGCCAACTTTGACACCACTTTCCTCTTCTACTTCCCTCCGAACAGCATCTTCTATTGTCTCCCCTAATCAAATGGGGCAAAAGAACAAGTAGCTGATGAACATGCCCTGGACATACTGTGCTAGGAATGGTTCAAACATTTGGAAATCACTTTGGACAGAAACCTAGTTCAAAGAATCAGAAAGCAGAAGCCTAAAACTAGATTGGAGTTCAAGAAAACATCATTCCTTAAAGTTTATGACCACATACAAAATCAAAATACCAACAAACTTTTCATTTAAGTTAAATTAAAGGTCCAAATTTTGAGTTACATTAAAAAAATAATAACATATACAACTATCTAGCACCTACCTATGGCTAGACACTATAAACATTTTATATATTATTTCATTAATATATTATTACTAAATAGTTATAAATTATAACTATTTTTTAATGCTAGTCTTTTCCTCACTAAAATCTTCCAACTCTTTTTTCTTATGTTGTCAATTATTACAAATAACTGTTTTCAAAATAGTTAGAAAGCACATAACACTAAAAGTTTAAAAACCACAGTAAGTGAAATTCAGCATTTTTCTTTTAACATTATTATTTTCCTCTAGATCAGCTATTTTCCACGGGTGTGCTACAAGAATTTTTAAAACATGCAATACATGACTATTTAGTTAGGGGCATTGACCTCTTTTCCCTTAGGCTGTCAAGTGAAACATGACAACAGCCAACACAACAATAGCTGACCGATGTGAATGCCCTGTCTTGAACAATAAATATATAAGTCATATAACAGAGGTGCATATTATTGGTCATATTGCATAATAAGGTTCAGCCTTATTGGTTAATTCTTTGTACCAGAAATCCTTATATACTATATACAAGTAAAGGCACCTGATTTTTCAAAAAGTCACTTAGGAGCAAAAAAGATAGGTAGTGACTATTATACTTTTGTAAATCAATCATGAGTATGCATATTTTATTTGTCAGATTGGCAAAATATGTATTTTATGTGGGCTGCAGAATTTTGGTAATTAGTTATGTGTGCCAGTCATTGACTAGCATAAGATATTTGCAAGACCATAACAAAATAAAGACTAGCATACAATACATATTTTAAAACTCCTAAAATCAATAAGAAAAAAGATAAACAACGAAAAACAAAAATAGGCAAACAACATAAACATGTACAACTCAGGAGTAAAGAAAACTGGGTGCCTATTATACATTTGGAAAGGATACTCCATCAGCTGGGAAATAAAAATGAAAAATATAGTGACACACTATTTCATATCCACCAGAATGACGAATTAAAAATTCGAAAACTCTAATTTGGTGTAGATTTGGAATAACTGAACATTTCTTGTACCGCTAAAAGGAATGTAAATTAGCCGGGACACTGTAGAGAGCAACTTGGCAATAACTACAAAGGTTAAGATGCTGATATCCTACGATCTAACAATGATACTCTCAGGTATATACGCTAGATAACTCTTGCAAATGTGTACAAGGAGTGGTATAAAAATATTAATGGCAGTGTTGCTTGTAATAGCAAGAGCTTTGAAATAAATGTCCAACAGCAGAATAAATAAATTGCAGGATATTCATAAATGGAATACTACACAGCAGTGAACAAAGTAATCCAGAGCTATGAGAAGCAGCAGAGTGATTAAGATCATGGACTCAGAGACAACTGCCCAGGTTTAAGTCCCTGCCCTATCACTTACTACCTGCTTGATTTGGGGCAAGTTATTCAGCCCCTGTGCCTTTGTGCCCCATCTATAAAACTGCTGAGGATCATATGATTTAATACATGGAAAGCCTTGGGAACAGAGTGTGGCTCTAATATATATTTATTACTATTATTATCTAGTAATGCAGATTAATATTGGAAGTGTGAGGTTAAACATGTATTAATAGATATATTCATTCATTCATTCTGCAAATATTTATTGAACTCCTACTATGTAAGAGGCACTGCTTTAAGGGTTTGGGACACACCAATGAATAAAACAAAGTCCCTGCCCTTATGGAACTTACTTTCTGGTAAAAGCAGATAAATACAGATAGACAAATAGTTACATACAAAAATACATACATACATACATACCATGTTAGGTGGTGATGAGTGCTATAGCAAAAAAACTGGCAGGATAACAGGAATTGTGAATGCAGACTATGGGGCTAAGGAATGCATTTGGGGCTATCAGGGAAGATATATTTGAACAGATGACAGCTGGGTCTAGCACAGAAGGAAGTGAGGTGTAAATCATGCTGATATCTTGGGTAACAGAAATATATGAAAGATATAGGAAAGAGCAAGTATTGAATTTTTAAAACACAAAATTATTCCATTAGTAAAAACAAAAGTTGTATCATTTAAAATACCAAGAAAATATGTAAACATAACGATTTTATTCAATAATTTATCAAAGATTATTTCTCAAGTGCTGCCTAAAATATTTATTTGGAGATTATATGTTAAATAAAAATCATTACAAAAATTATTTTTAAAAAGCTTACCAGGTTCAATAAATCCAGCAAGGCAAGTAAACATGCCTGGAGGAAATCTTTTCTGCCTGCCTAAAAGACATTTGGTCCCATCTGGATGAATAACTTGCATGATTACTACTGGATCTATTAAAAAAAATGGGATGTATGAATAACAGGAAAAAATAATTTCCACTCATTCTGTATATATAGTCACTGTCTAGTAGGATAATTAAAAGGTATATTTACTGTAAGAACAAGACTTGTCTAGTTGCAAGAGATTGTTTCTTTCTACCTAATGACAGTATTTTAGGGAAGTTATATATAATACTGTCAGTAAGGTAAAAGATCAATTTTGTCCTCATTTTAATAACATTTATTGTGTACTTATGGTATGCTAGGCATATTTTTTTAAAAAATATATTTTTATTGATTTCAGAGAGGAAGGGAGAGGGAGACATCAATGATGCAAGAGAATCATTGATTGACTGCCTCCTGCATGTCCCCTACTAGGGATTGAGCCCGCAATGCACGCATGTGCCCTTGATGGGAATCGAACTCGAGACCTTTCAGTCCACAGGCTGACACTCTATCCACTGAGCCAAACCAGGTAGGGCTCTTATTTTTTATAAGAAAAAAGTGTGAGTAGATAATACATGGCATGAATAAAATTCAAATTTTACCATAGTAAATGTAGTGGATTTTCCTTTCCCTTCCATCCTAATCCAAAATAAAATGTTTTTAAAAGCTAAGGTAGTTCTGTGATTACATTTAAGCTATTAAAAAAATACATATACGTATAAATTAAATACAGTCATGTCTCCGGACATCACTAATCTAGTGAATTATCCTCTCTATATCATGACTGAGATCCAGGGATCAGATGTAAAAGGTTCCCGAGCAGTAAAAATAGATGTCACTAAGCCATGCACTTTACTTACTCCTAGGAGACCTATTCAGGTGTTGCTTACTTAGTCTGTCTGTTCTTTTTCACAGTTTGATAGGGCTGGGTTATCAGATTTCTAAATCAACAGCAGTCTCAAAGCAATTAGGAGCAGAGAAAGTATAGGCAGATACCAGCAGTTACGAGAAGCTAGCTCCAGACTGTACTGCATGGGTGATGCCTCAAACAGGTACTAAATTGTTGGGGCCTCTTTTTTGGTGTCTCTGAACTAAGTGGACCCAGATTTGGTGGGCTTTTGAAATCGTGTATCTCAACACATCAAGTTCATACTGATTAACCCAGAGTTAAGAAATGGCTAATTATGTACAATGTCCTTTACTTAAAATTCATGAAGGTATGCAATAACTTAATACTTATAGAGTTAATGGTTAAATTAAACATGCTTTTAACAAAAAGGTCAACCCCTCAACTGTGGGGCGTGGTTACGGTGTTCTGGCCAGGTTCAAGCCTCGGACAATGAAAGGACAGGGTCCTCTCCTTGCCAAGTGCAAATCCCAGCTGGAGGGCAGGGCCCCCCCAGCACAATTATAGCCAAGGGCTGTCGTTGTAAGCTTGAGCCTGGTCCGAACACGTAGCCCCACGTGCCTTGTGATAGAGTTTGGGTGCATGTAGTTGAGTGAGGTTGAAACTCACGAGAGAGCTGGCATGGCACATAAGGCGCCTGGGGCTGAGTATGCCTTGGCCGTGCCGGCTCCCCACACTCAGCAACTGAAAATCTTGTCTTTCTAGAATGTCCTATTCCTCAAGATTCCAGATGGCTGGGATTTCACCGTAAAAGAAAAGGCTTACCAACTCTCGGATAGGATGTATTGTGAACGCCATGGAGGCTAGGGCAGCCTTCTTTTAAGCATACTCTTTTATATCCACCTTCTTCAATTTTCGTTGCACTTCCACAGGTTGGGCAGAACTTATATCTACTGTGCCAGGCAAGAACGGCTCTTGCTTGAGCTACAACTCCTTTTTGAGAAAAACAAAGAGTTTTAATTCTGTGAAAAATTATAAACAAATTAATCATATGTAAAATATTCTTGAGTCATAATAAAGACATATGTTATAAATGTTCTTAAGTCATAATAAAGCATATACTTCTGAATAGCGGTGTGATCAAGAGTTTAGTACTCCTATTTTGATGATGTGTACATTTTTTTAAAGTAAAAGATTTAATTCTACATATGACAAATGAAAATTAGATTTAACTTTAATTTGAACTAAGAAAATATAACTCCTATAAGATAGATGTACTAACATCCATCTTATACACTGTATTAGCTCAGACTTTTACTACAGATGATTTTGAAATTTTGGATATACAAGGTGTATAGTGACTCTACAAATAGTAACTTTATAATGGAGACTTTTCTAAAAATACATTACAAAGGCTGTTCCTAACTTGGACTTGAACAAAAAAGGCAATATTACAAACTGCTGGTGCCCACCTCTACCTTGGTGACTGACTAAGCCCTACTGGTTCATGTCCCTGTGGAACCTATCCTGTTTACAACTGGAAACTGCACATAATATTGAAAAATTAATGCTGTTTACAACCTTCATATCCTTGGAAGGGCCTTCCCTATACCTAAGGCAGTGGTTGGCAAACCGCGGCTCACGAGCCACATGCAGCTCTTTGGCCCCGTGGCACGGGCCACGAAGTTTCAATCGCACTGTACGTGCATGCCCGCACGTGGTATTTTGTGGAAGAGCCACACTCAAGGGGCCAGTTTGCTGACCACTGACCTAAGGGAAGGGGAACACTGACAAGTGACCCCTTCATCACCTCCCATTAACTTCTCATTCTATCATAATCTGGCTTCTTTCCTTCCACTCCACGGATACTCCTCTTGTCAAATTCACCAAAACCTTCATACTCTCCAAAACAAAGATCTTTTAAAAAACCACAAAAACTTTGTCTTTGTCTTACTCATATTCTCAACGGCATTCAATCCATTTGACCAGTACCTCCAAAAAATACTCTGCTTTAATGGTTTCCATTTTTGATGGCTCCTCTCTTTTTACCTGACCTTTAAACTGAGAGGGATTGAGGTATGATTCTGAGATTCTCTTTCTTTCTTGCTCTCAACTCGAAGTAATCTCAGTAGTTTCCTGGGATTCAAAAACCATCTTTGTGTTGATGACTCCCATATGGGTATCACCAGTTCAGGCCTCTCCTCTCCTCTTTCCAGATTCTAATATCCTCTAAAATTTAGCATGCTTAAAACTAATATCTAGATTTACTTACTTTAAATCTTTCCTGCTTCCCTTGTTCTACTCATCACCCTATATTATTTTATTTAAAAAATAGTATCACTACTTACCAAATTATTAGTCTCAAGCCTAACAGTTATTCCTTATCTTTTCCTTCATTATTATATACTCTATCCTCATTCCAATAAGTACTGTTAATTTTCTCTCAAAAATATATCTTGAATGTACCTCCTTTTCACCATCTCTAATATTATTACCTTAATTTAGGTCATAGTCCAAGTTACTATCATCTCCCCCTCACATATAATAGTCTCAACATACTGATAAAGCCCTATCAGTCCTACCTCCATAATTTCTCAAACTCTCTCCTGCCACTCTACTAATCCAAGCCAATAAAATATCTTACCTGGGCTGCAGTAATTGCTAATCACCTCACAACAAGACTCCTGACTTCCATACTTAATTGCCTGCAATTCATGATCTACAAAGCAGCCAAAGTGAGGATTTTTTTTTCTTAAACATAGGTCAGGTTACAATATTTAAATGGAATTTCGACTAACATCCCTAGGTTCTTATCATGACTTGAAAGGCCCCACATGAACTGGCATACCCAGCAACAGAAAAAACGAAATAGTCCAAGTCTTTGCCATCATGCTCATTGTACACCAGGTGCTCACTGTTCACTGAAGAATCAAATGAAACCATCATGCTTTAGGGTTAATTCTGGGGAAATCTGTGTTGGCTGATTACGACTGCGGTAACTGCCCAGGAGAGTAGTCCCCTAGGGTGAGAGCTTTAAAGGTTTCTAATGAAGATATAGCTTAATTTCATTGCTTACTGAAAAAGCATGCCCCCTAGAAACTGTAGATACATACAACTCCAATAGAGTTCCAAAGACCAGATTATCATCAATACAAGTATAGAGTGTTCACTTCTTACCAGCTTCATTTTCTTTCAATTGCAGAAGAGCTGGCATTGGAGGATGAAGAAAATAACAATTTTCATGTCTTTGCTTAAATTCTTCAGCAGCAACAGGATCTATACCTAGAGCAAACCAGGCAACCAACCCATCTTCTTCTCTTGGGACTTCCCCAGTATAATTAAGTAACTCTTTTTTCATTTCAAGTTCTACTCCAAGGAAAATCAAGGTGATCTTTTCAGGCTGAGCCAAATAATCCTTTATATCTGTGTAGTTCAGCTGACAAAGCCTGACTTCTGGCTGTTGGGAACTTTCTTTATTGCCACCCAGAGTAACCAAGGGATTTAAATCTGAGAAAAGTATATAAACTGTGGCTGGATGGCTTTCTTTAGCTAGTAGCCAGTCAGAATTACTTCTTTTTTCACTTTTCCGGTCCAACAGTGTTTTGCCAAAATAATTTTCACATTCTTCTACTTCATTGGTTAGGAACCAAGGCTTCTTCCCACCTTTATTATTAGCTAGTATGTTAGCTATATGCTTGTAACCCCAAAAGTTAGCAATATCCAGTGCAGTCTGCCTTGATTTGTTGACAATGGATCTGTCACACCTATAGATAAGAGGAAAAATATAATAGGAAAAAAATGTTTTCTCCAGTATTTACTTAATATTTTCAGATGCATATTATAGTTCCTTTATTTACTGCTTACATAGATTTTTTTCATTTACTACATAATTTACAAGTGGGAAGGTTAAAATAAATAATCATAAATGATGAAAAGTTATAGATAGTGGATATTTCAATTTTCTGGAGAATTATTAAATTAAAAAGCAGTATGTGCTATAAGATATTAAACTTTTACAAGGGATTCATGGTAGTCATAGTGGGTAAATTCACATTTTCTGTTTGGAAAAATATTAGATTAACTCCTAAGTTTGCTTTGCTATTAAGAATGAAAAGTTAATTCCTCAGTAAAGAAAGTTACAAGCTTTTAGTTAGAAATTATGCTACATTTTTATATCACAAAACTGATCAATGACTTATTTACATGTCCGATGATATAAATAATGGCTACAAGAAAATTTTGAAAAGATGTAACCCAGAAATTAAACCATATAATCCTTCAGGTGATATAGCCTCAAATGTTTACCCTTTCTCAAGTAGAAATTGGACAACATCTGGGTGCCCATTCCTTGCAGCATACATTAAAGCAGTCCAGCCATTTTCAGAAGTTTCATTGAGTAGAGATGGAGAATGACTGAGTATTACTGTTAACCTGGCAATATCTCCTTCTGCAGCTGAATAGTGAAATTGAGAAACTATTTCTTGCTTTGGATTTCTTTTTATAGAAGACATTTCTTCCTTAAAAAAAAGGAAAATAGAAAAAAAAACTCATTTGCAATTGCTCTTCATATCAACAATTGAACATTATCTGAGTGCTGATATAATTAGAATAATTATGGTCTCTAAAACATAATTAGCAAAAGGTAATTAGCAGTCAACTGTCATCACAGAATACATTTCAAAATTGTCATCAGTTGAAAATTTTAAATATGATTCAACATGAGGGATATATACATAACATACAGATCTTTGGTAATACAGATGAGGGGGCCATATCCTTGGGAGAGGGACCAGGTAACAAAGAGAAGCAGGTATTTGAAGTAGACCAGACATACTTCACTGGGAGAAGGGCTTAAAGCAGAGAGAAGTAAAGGCAGAAGTTTTTAGCAGATGACAAGTAGTATTTCCCTTAGGTTTGCAGGTAAGAAATAGGTTCCTATCCTCAGAGAAATTAAGAACCTTTAACAAATTATTAAAAAGCTAAGTTTCTCATGAAAACCATGTATTGCTTTTCCTTGCACAATTCTGCAATCTATCTGGAATTGATTTTTGTTTAAGGTGTGAGATAAGGGTTAACATACATTTTTATGTCATAGACTAAGCCATATGACTTGGCCTCATCCTTGAAATTACCATCTTATCCTTTTGTACTACAGTATTATCTTTGTCATCAATCAGATGACCATGTTTTTTTTTTATTGGACAGTATTCTAATGGTCACTTTGTCTACCCTTGAATCACAGAAACTCTTTAAACCCTTAACTTTGTCTGCTTTGTCACACTGCTGTTTCAGTAAGAAAGAAAAATATAAAAAAAAAATTGTTTCATATCTTAATAAATGTTGCTTAAACATGGGTTATATGTGGTAGGGCACAAACTGAGCTATTTTTTGGTGGAAATGATTCATGTTTCAGTTGGCTATGAATTCCTCAAAGTACCTTTTTTTTTAGTGTGTATTTTTTTCTATGAAATGCAGTTAATATTTGGGTTTCTACTATTCTAAGCAATAGATATTTATGCTAAAACAGTGGTTCTCAACCTTCCTAACACTTCTTTAATACAGTTCCTCACGTTGTGGCGACCCCCAACCACAAAATTATTTTCGCTGCTACTTCATAACTGTAATTTTGCTACTGTTATGAATCGTAATGTAAATATCTGATATGCAGGATGTATTTTCATTGTTCGCGACCCACAGGTTGAGAACCG